TTGAGCATAATAAATTTTGTTTTAAGAAAATCATACTCTAGGGTTGTTTTACTTTTTTTCTCATTTCACTGCAGAGTGGTTTAAAAAAAAAAAAATTCTCTGCCCCAGAGAGCAGCACATACTTAATTTTGGGAATCATGAAATTCCAACAAGCTGCTTGGTTTACAGATGGGGAAACTGAGGAGGAAGTGACATTCCCAAGGTCACAAGGATTGGTGATTCACAGACCCTAAGACTTGGAAGGGAACCAAGAGCTCATCTTCAACCCCCACCCCCAACTCATACCTGAATCGCCATCCCTGGAGAGGATCTTTACCTGGCTGTTGATGCTATTGTTCTCTCTAAATATCAGCCAGCCTCCAAAGAAGGCAGCCAGGAATGAGTGCACCTGGTAGGTCTCACCCTGCGCGTAGGACTGCAGGGCGCAAAGCCCCTTGTAGGTGAACACGAAGCAGGCCAGGTTGGAAGAATGGGTGTACGTGGCCTGCAGGATGGCCTGAAGCTTCTCTCGGAGGCTGCAGAAACACAGGGAGCCACCATGAGCGCAGACCCAGCCATTCCCAGGGCATTCACCCACTGGGCATGCAAATCTGAAGGAGGCAAGAAGCCCACGCTCATTCAACCCCAGGCCTCTAGCCTCCACGTCCTGAGGGCTGCTGCCTCACTTGATTCAGGCCTTTACTCCATCTCCATACCACTTCCTCAGAAAGGCCTTCCCTGATCACCCTACATAAAAGAATGCCCATCACATCTGTCCCCGTACCCTACTTTTCTTTTCCTTCATTGCTCTTATCACCACCTAACATTTATATGCTTGTTTATTTTCTCCCCCCATCCCTGCCCCATCCCAGTGGAAGCTACCAGAGAGTGGTGTCTACATCTGGCTTGTTCAGCTTCAGGGCCCAGAACAGGGCGTGACACATAGTAGGTGCTCAATAAATTTTTTTTTTGGAGTAAACATGTGAAGAAATGAATGAGTGAGGAAGTGAGTGCCTACTATGTGCTGGATCTGGGGATACCATTCTGGGAAAAAACAGATTTGTTTGCTGCCCTCATGGAGTTTATAATCTAATGGGAGGGGAAAATATAAACAAGCATAAAGCAAGGGTCAAACATTGACCTGACCAGAGAGGATTCTGGGATCTGAAGGATGAGGNTTCTTCATGGCTAACTTGGTAGTTAGGGGGACTGGATGATGGCATAGTGGTCAGGCTTGTTTCTCCTGGGGGTGCTCTTCCGAGGATACTTGGGCTACCTTCTGAGCCACAGTGTCTTGGGCCTTCAGAAGGTGACGAGTAGATCTTTTTTTGTGTGTGGCTGTGGATGCCTTTCAGCTCTGCTTTCTTTGCCTTCAAAGCCTTTGCTTTGGCTTTGGAAGAGGCAAGGCCTTCCTTTTTTGCTTTCGGTGCCATCTTCATGAAAAGGCCATATCAAATCATTAATCAAAGAGAAAGCAAACATGCAGAGGACAGGGAGGAAATGCCCAAGAGATGACAGTGCCATGTACAAGCTTCTTATAAAACAAAGATAGGTGGCTGTGCATAGAATCTCCGAGAAAGGCTGTACTGGGAAGTGTTAACCGTGAGTGCCCCTGGCAAGGAGGGGGCTTAGGGGTAGAGCTTGTGTGTAAGAGGGAACCTGACTTTTCCCTCTTACACATGTTTTGTACTATGTAAGTTTTGTACTATGTGTATGTGTTATTGATTAAAAAATTGTTTACAGTCTTGCATGTCAGAAGGCTTCATAGGAATGTAGCAGGTTGTTAATAAACAAACACATGTTAAACCTTGGTGCTGTTTCAGGAAGCAGCATTTATGGAGCGCCTACTGCGTTACCAAGGGCCCTTTGGCAATGCCTGCTTTACTGATCTTAGGAAATGGAGGCTCAGCTAGGAGGGAGCCGAGTGGGCATTCCTCCCAGGTCCGCTGGAAGCCAGCACTCTGTTCCTCGGCAAAGACCACACCGCCTTCCTCCCTGGAGTGAGCAGTTGGGAGGCACCAGATGCTCTGGCAGGTTCCAGAGAGATACCATCTGTGAGGGAAACCTATTCTTAGAGAGCAGAGACAGTCGGTGGTGGAGCCGGCCAACTCCCAGCAGCAGCGGAGGGACGTGGGGAGGACAGGCAGCCGAAGTCCCCTTTTACCTTCAGAGGTAGGACAGGCTAAAAGCAGGGTCTACTCAGTCCCGAGGACCACGCTTCCTTCTACGTTTGGAAGCTATTAGAAATAACAGCAAACATTTATTGAGGGCTTACTTTATGCATGTATCATTCCTCCAGGCCACCTTACGAGGTGTGTGCTATTGTGTGCCTGATTTACACAGGCACAGAATGATTAAGTCACTTGCCCAAGGAAACAGAGGGACCAAGGCTGAGCCCAGGCACTGGATCCAAAGCCTACATCCCCAACCACCA